TGAAATATCGCGATATTTCAGTGTATCGATATTTTCTTTCACCCCTACCTGATAGGTCATGTGACCACCGCAGAAAGTGTTAACCAATGAGAATTTCCGTTGTGAACAAGGAGTTTTTCATTGTTCTGCCATGTGTTAAGTTCTAAAAAGTATTTGAGGAGAGAGTAACTTTCAGCTCCAGCTTTTCCCATCCCGGGGCGAGGCCATTCGTTTTTCCAACTTTATTTCCTTTTTGTAGTTTTGTTCTGAAGGTGCTTTTTAGGAAGGAGATTTACATTGATTGAAAACAATGAGGCTGATTTAATTCAAGTCAGACGACCACCAGTGTGCCCGCAAGGAGCCGCGGCGCGCTGGACAACATCTCCAGTGAATGCAAACAGACAATCCAGATGACCAGGGAACTTCTGCACAGCTAAGTCACAGACTCGGTTGGACTTCACCTGTCAGCCCAATTAGCATAGAAGTATCCATTCTGGTATCTACAAACTTTGCCGGTAGGAAATATCTTGCTTAATTAATCTGATGGTGTGTTCAAAGACTTAAATCAGATCAGAGTATATCAATGTCCATTCTTCTTCCCCTGAGCTCCCTCTTTGTTTGCTGTAGGCTTAGCAATAGCGAGTTAGTGTCTCACTGAAATATGTTAGAAAGTTGTTCACATGGTAGCCATGTCAGACTACTTACGCCACTCCTYGATCAAGTTTACGGAACTGATTATAAAGTGTGTTTTTGTCTGAGAAATGACTTGTAATGCATATATTTCCCTCTGAACGGATGAATTTCCAAATGTGATTTGTCTCCGTCAGTGTATTTCCTTGTCTCACGCCGTCATTAAACTGAAAGAATTAAACGTCTTCATATTTAGAGATTGAATATTGAGAAAAGTTTTTCTGAAGTTTTACTACAACTTTAGTGGTGCCCCCGTAAGKTGAAATTAAACATTTCTTACAGAGTTTGTTTAATTTTAGCGTTTAAAACCCCCCTACATTTGAAAAAAGTTTAAATTCCCTGAGTGGGAGCAGCTGGAAGCAGGAAGTTAGGCTACCTTTGTGATTCCAGGCAGATCCACCAGCGTGAGGTTGACCACGTGAGGAGAGAAGATTTTCAGGTGAATGGGGTCGTCGCTGATTCCCTGCACAGGAAAAACAACAAACAATAGAATGTTCAACAGAGTTGTAAAGTAACTAAATACAAATACTTTGTTACTGTACTTAAGTAGAAATTTTGGTTATTTGTACTTTACTTGAGTAATTATTTTTCAGCTTTCACTCCTTACATTTTCACACAATTATCGGTACCTTCTACTTATTACATATTTTAAAAGGCAAGAAGTAGAAAGTTCTTCTTCCTATTTCATTCCAGCTGGTTCTTGTTCTTGTTCTTGAATTTTGCCTCCTGGATAATTTAACTGTAGTAAAGCTCTGTCACACTATTATGTTTTATCTTATCCCAACTTATGAAACTTACAGTGGGGAGAACAAGTATTTGATACACTGTTGATTTTTCAGGTTTTCCCACTTGCAAAGCTTGTAGATGACTGTAATTTT